TTGAGTTTGGTGAGAAGTTTTTAGATACAACATCAAAAGTCCAATCTGTAAAAGAAAAAGGTTGATAAATTAGGGTTAATTGGAACAGGACCTCTCAATCATGGATGAAAAATGTTAGTAATTTTTGAAGACAGTGTTTTACAAGGCTAAACATAGTCTTATCCTGTGATCCATCAATGTGCTTCTAGATATTTACCCAATTTGAAAACTTGCATCTGCACAAAAAACGGGCACGGAAAGGTTTATAGCAGCTTGCCAAAAATTTGGAAGCAATCAGGATATTCAATAGGTGAATGGATAAAGAAACTGTAGTACATCCATATAATGGAATATTATCCTGTAATAAAAGCATATGAGCTATCAAACCATGGAAAGACTTTAGACCTTACATGTGTATTATATGTGTAAGAAGCCAATCTGATTCTAATCCTGTATGATTTCAACTATATGACATTCTGAAAAAGGCAAAACTATAGAGATAGCAAACTGTTCATTGGTTTCTAGGATTAGATTTGAAAAGATGAAGCACAGGAGACTTTTTAGGGAAGTGAAACTGTTCCATATGACATAACAGCAGATATGTGACACTACGCATTTATCAAAACCATAGACATTTACAGCACAAAATAAGCCTTAAAGTATCCAAATTAAAAAAAAATCACGTAAGAGTGGAAGAATCCCAGGATAGAATGTCTATTGTGACACAACAATTTAATTATGTTATAAATGTATGAAACAGCCTTATTGAAGAGGGTAGGAGAAAAAGGTGGTGACCTAAGTAACTGAAAATAGCAGAATCTGTAAGACTAATGGCAAAATATATTGTACATACTCATTTTAATGTAGCTGATGATTTTTTTTCTCATGGAGACACAGTTTAAGAATCTTGATACCAGTATATATATACTGGAAATGAAGAAATTATGTACATAGATGGCAGATGATGGGAACCAGATTTCTTACTGTTGGAGTGGGAGTTTTCATATAGGTAAGGAGAGGAGGCTAGAACAATTTTCATGGTAATAGATTAGAGCTGAAAGCATCAGTATAAACTCATGTTACGATTATACAGATATACATGATTACATATACAAGTTATAGATATGTGTATAATTCCAGATTAGGATACACACATCTATTTCCTTACTCTGCCAGCTATGAGGGCATACAAGCAATGATACCTCAGTAGCACTAACATCCAGCTCTTGGTTTCTAAAACATTCTCCAATAAAAGGAACCAGAGCTCCTTGGAGAAATGGCTGATTCGAGCTAGGACTGGGCTAGGAAGTAAATATTATGAGACTGGAGCATCTTGTAGTTCCAGAAATAAAGCAAGCATTCAAGAAAACAAAAGCCACCCACAAGAATTGAATATATCAAAGCGATATAGGAGCCTACTGAAAGAGCTTCCAAAGGCCAAGACTGGAACAGTTTGAACAAATAATAATAAAGTAGTATTAGATCATTAACCCAAAATATAATATAAACATCCATGAGTCCATACTGATATAAATAATGGAGTATAAGTGGAGAAGAGACAAAGAAAAGTAACTAGGTGGAGAAGAATTCCAAATAATTTACGTAGATATTCTGCCCTCAATTTATGTAGCATAACTCCTACTCCATAAGTGTGGGCTGCAAATATTGACTTCCTTCCAAAAATCACATTATAGAAATAGGGAAAAAAGAGTAACTTTAGAGTGGGTAAACCTAACAAACACTGCCTTAGCCATGTAATAAATAATCAACATTAACAGTGAGTCATATTAATAGTATAGACTCATGATATGATATGGTGAAAGTGGCACTTTACCTCTGTCATCTTCCTCCCCCAAACTTGCAACCCCAGTCAAATCATAAGAAAACATTAAACAAATTCAAATTAAGGGACAATATACAGGTCAGTAATTTTCAATATCCTCAAGGTCATAAAAAATATGGGAATGTGAGAAACTGTCACAAATAAGAGAATCCTAAAGAGACATGCCAACTAAATGTCATGTGGTATTCTGAATGGGATCCTGGAGCCAAAAAGAAACAATAGATACAAACAACAAAAAAAATGAAATGAGTCTAGGCACAGTGATTCACACCTATAATCCCAGCACTTTGGGAGGCTGAGATGGGAGGATCACTTGAGCCCGGGAGTTCAAGACTAGTATGGGCAACAAAGTGAGACACTGTCTCTATGAAAAATAAAAATAAATAAAAACTAAAAAAGTTATAAAAACTGAATGAACTATGAACTTCAGTTTATAATAATGTATTAATATTGGTTCAAAATTGTAATAAATGTACCATAGTAAGATAATATATTAATAATAGGGGAAACTGGGTACCCAGTATATAGAAACTTTCTGTATTCCCTTCACAGTTTCTTCACAAATACATAAAGACTGTTCTCAAATAGCTACCGTGCCTGGCCTAAAATAAAAAAGTTAAGAAAAATTTTGCTGACCCTACTGTAAATGAACAAAAACTACAAGTGATTGGTTTGCACATTTTTTGTATGATTTAAAAAATGAATTTGTTGAAGAAAGATAACAAGATGCTTTCAGATTATTCTCAATGATTGAAGAGTCAGTTTAAACCCTGATTCCTATCTGTGGAAAATTAACTTCATTTCTTTCAGTGTGGGAAGATAGCATATTGCATGACATAGAAAATTGGAAATAAATATACAAAATATTGGGATGTTCAACCCAAAACAGTTACTTGAAAACATTTGATAAGGATTCATTATATATACTTAACTTTCAAAATTGCAATTTAAGTTCCCAGTTTTTATTATATTTAAAAAAGAAGCATTTGTTTCTAGAAATGAATTCTGCTTAAGAAATGGAATTAAATGTGGATAAAATGCCCTTCTGATAAAGGGCAAATATTGAAAAAAATATTATTGCATTGGGTAAATGCAATAGAAAATTCACTGCTTTTTTTTGAAGCAACCCCACAGAGTTAATTCCTCCATGGTGCTGAAGACTTTTGCTTTGAAATTCATTTTATTGACCTAAAGCTTAAACTGCAGGGTGACTCCAGGATAATTGACAGGAGGGAGAGAACATCATGCTAGCATTGTCACGTATGTCCTCATTCAGTTCCTTGTTAAAAGATGCATTATGTAAATGTATTCCCCACTGAATTTTGCTGCATTTTTTTTGTCCCTGGTAAAGTATTACCTATATTTGTCAAGGAGGAGGGGGAAAACCCACTCTTTCAATGGTTCAATGATTATGTCCCCACACTTTAATTTCTGCTTGAAATTCAAGCCCACACAAAAGGTTTCAAAACCTAAAGGTAGTTTTACCTTGTTACTGACTTATGTGTATAATGTGGGCTAAGGAAAAATAAAGCATATCTAGAAGCAGATAAGAGATGTAATTAGACTCTGAAACATGTTTCTTCAGTAAAATTATTTCCCGAAGTTACTTTGAAGTGCAATAATGTAGCTACAAAATCAATCTGTGGTACATGAACCAAAGAAATGATCAATTATTCATCCAGTTATGTATATGTCAACCAAAACATATATAGACACACCTCGCTTTATTGCACTTCACTTTATTGTACTTTGTAGATATTACATATTATACAAATTGAAGTTGACAACCCTGTGTCAAGCAAGTCTGTTGCCATCATTTTTACAACAACATGTGCTCACTTCGTGTCTCTGTGTTGCATTTTGGTAATTCTCATATTTCAAGCTTCTTCATTAATATTATATCTATAATGGTGATTTGTGATAAGTGATCTTTGATGTTACTATTGTAATTGTTTTGGGGTACCATAAACTACACCCATATAGATGGCAAACTTAATCAATCAATGTTATGTATGTTCTGACTGTACCACCACTCCTTGTCTCTCTCCCCCTCCTCTGGACTCCCTATTCCCTGAGATAAAATAACATTGAAATTAAGAGCAATTAATAACCCTACAATGGCCTCTAAATGTTTAAGTGAAAGGAAGAGTCTCATGTCTCTCACTTTAAATCAAAAACTAGAAATGATTAAGCTTCATGAGGAAGGCATGTTGAAAGCTGAGTTAGGTTGAAAGCTGGGATTCTTATGCCAAACAGCCAAGTTATGAATGCAAAGGAAAAGTTCTTAAATGAAATTAAAAGTGACACTTCAGGGAACACACCAGTGATAAGAAAGCAAAGCAGACTTATTGCTAATATGGAGAAAGTTTGAGTGGTCTAGACAGATTAAACCAGCCACAGTGCTTCCTTAAGCCAAAGCCTAATCCAGAGCACGGCCCCAACTGTCTTCAATTCTCTGAAAGCTCAGAGGTGAGGAGGCTGCAGAAGAAAAGTGGCAAGTTACCATAGGTTGGTACATGACGTTTAAAGAAAGGAGCCCTCTCCATAACATAAAAGTGCAAGGTGAGGCAGCAACTGCTGTTGTAGAAGCTGCAGCAAGTTATCTAGAAGATCTTGCTAAGACCATTAGTGAAGGTAGATACACTAAACAATAGAGTTTCAATGGAGATGAAACAGACTTATATAGGAAGAAGATGCCAGAAGATGCCATCTAAGACTTTCATAGTTAGAGGGGAGAAGTTGAGAATGCCTGATTTCAAAGCTTCAAAGGACAAGCTGACTCTCTTGTGAGAGGCCAATGCAGCTGATGACTTTAAGTTGAAGCCAATGCTCATTGACTATTCCAAAAATCCTACAGCCCTTAAGAATTATGCTAAATCTATTGTCTGTGCTCTGTAAACAGAAAGATGATAGCATTTCTGTTTACAGAATGATTTACTGAGTATTTTAAGCCCGCTGTTGAGATCTACTGCTCTGGAAAAAAAGAGATTCCTTTCAAAATATTACTGCTCACTGACAATTCATTTGATCACCCAAGAGCTCTGATGGAGATGTATAAGGAGATTAATAATGCTTTCATGCCTGCTAATGCAACATCTATTCTGCAGCACATGGATCAAGGAGTAATTTTGACTTTCAAGTCTTATTTAATAAATATATTTTGTAAGGTTGCAGCTGCCATAAATAGTGATTTCTCTGATGGATCTGGGCAAAGAAAATTGAAAATCTTCTGGAAAATATTCACCATTCCAGGTGCCATAAAGAACACTCATGATTCATGGGAGAAGGACAAAATATCAATGTTAACAGGAGTTTAGAAAAAGTTGATTCCAACCTTCATGGATGATTTTGAGGGGTTCAAGACTTCAGTGGAGGAAGTCATTGCAGATGTGGTAGAAATAGCAAGAGAACTAGAATTAGAGGTGGAGCCTGAAGATGCTGCAATCTCATGACTAAAGTTGAACAAATGAAGAAGTGCTTCTTATAGATGAGCAAAGAAAGTGATTTCTTGAGAAAGAATCTACTCCTGGTAAAGATGCTGTGAATATTGTTGAAATGAGAACAAAGGATTTATAATATTACATAAACTTAGTTGATAAGGCAGCTACAAGTTTGGAGAGGGGTGACTATAAATTTGAAAGAAGTTCTACTGTGGGTAAAATGCTATCAAACAGCATCACCTACAGAGAAATCTTTTATTAAAGAAAGAGTCAATCAATGTGGCAAAATTCATTGTTGTCTTATTTTAAGAAATTCCCCCAGCTACCCCAACTTTTAGCAACCATCACCCTTATCAGTCAACAGTCATCAACATTGAGACAAGATCCACAACCACCAAAAAGATTACCACTTGCTGAAGGCTCAGATGAGTGCATTTTTAGCAATAAAGTATTTTTTAAAGTTTGTAAAATTTCAAGATACAATGCACATACAGCACATGTAATAACACTGTAGTATAGTGTAAATATAACTTTTATATGCACTGGGAAACCAAAAACTTTGTGTGACTTCCTACATTTGCTATATTTGTTTTTCTGCAGTGGTCTGGAAGCTAACTCACCATATATCCAAGTTATGCCTGTACAAATGATAGATACAGATATGTGGAGAGCTGAAAATACCAACTCTTAGAAATAAAAAATGTCAACTTATTCATTAATGGAATCAAGATTAGTGCTCAAACACTGGAAATATAGTGAAGTATGATAGTCTTGGATCATAGATGAAATGGTCAAGGTACTTCTCAATGAAACAACTTATTCTTTTTAATAGTTCTTATAAAGCATTTAAGAAATTATTACCGTTGGAAAGAAACAAAAACAGTAGACTTTTATTTAAAAAACAGAACAAATTATGAATACAAAATAAATGCCTATGGTTTAATTTTGAGCTTATGAGTTACCCATACTTTAATATAAACTTTTACTAATGTGAGACTCTGAGAATTTGGTTCTGTGTTTTAAGGCCAAAAGAAAGCTGATTAATACAGAGGGACACATACAATTAGTTGGAAAAAATGCACTATATCATTAGGTTTTACAGATGGACTATCTTCTGGGTCTCTATTTGTGGTATGTTTTTCTAGCATTTAGAAAACAAAATAGAATCTTGTTTTATAGTCTTAAAATCTCTCAAGTTTGCTCTTTTAGTATTAATATGTTTATAGAGAAAGTGATTTGAGTAAAATAAAGTTGACCCTTGACTTTATTTTACTCAATTTTACCCTTGACAAATTGACTTCTAACCTGTGTTCCTGGCTAAGTAGGTGACTCATGCCTGTAACACCAGAACTTTGGGAGGCCAAGATGGAAGGGTCACTTGAGCCCAGGAGTTTGAGACCAGCCTGGGCAACACAGTGAGACCCCTGTCCATTAAAAAAATTCAAAACGAAGCCAGATGTGGTGGTGCATGCCTGTAGTCCCAGCTACTCAGGAGGCTGAGGCAGGAGGGTAACTTGAGCCAGGAAGGTCAAGGTTCCAGTGAGCCATGATCACACCACTGCACTCCAGCCTGGATGACTGAGCAAAAGCAAGATCTGTCTCAAAACAAACAAAGAAATAAACAAAATAACCCCTGTTCTCCAGACTCTGAGCTATCCTGCAAGCCTTGTTCTTTCAAACTTGCACATGGTTTATGTAAAACAGCTAGGTTTATATAACTAAATCAGAATTGTGTTATTCTAGGATATACACATTTTTGGGGGGATACTAGAAAATTAAAATCTGGATAAAGCTTTTTTCAGTTTCATTTATATTTGAGCAGCAAAATAACTTGAAATGCTTTTTTAAAGCAAAAGAATGATTGCACTTCTTAAAAAGGGGGATTTGATTAAATGTAGGCGTATGTTTAGTGTCAAAACTTAGTCACGCAAGAAGGGAAGGACTTATTAACCAGAGGTAATTGATTCAGATGTTAGTATCACATAGCTGTGGAGTCAAGCTATTATGTCTTCCCTGGGCAAGCTTCTTCCCTCATCACTCAGCTCATTAGTATGCAGCTGGAAAATACCAGCACAGAGTATGCCAAGGCAGACAAAGAAATGACTCAAGGGAGATTTAAACTCCATGACTATACATATTCCCATAAAGTCTAAAAAACATAAGTACTCACAGCAGGGTAAAGCCCTGTGGTTTTCTTTCAGTGAAACAATCCACATTATCCCCGTGGCTAGAATGATGAGAAAGTGAATTTGAAAATATCTGCAGGATGGTGCTAATATCTTTGGTCAAGAAATAATAGCAGGAACCCCTTTCATTTTCCCAACCGATAGCTTGTTCCTGATACAAAGTGGCCTAGTGAGGTTGTGATTGTAACATCAGACTGGGGAGGTCTGGGTCCTCAGCTTATAACTATATTTCTTAACAATTGTTTCTAGGCAGTAAAAGGAAAGCAGAAGATGGTGGTCATTATAACAACATTTAAATTGTCAAAACCAATTTTGCTTCATTTATCTGAATATTTTGAGAAATAATACCATCTTAAAAAAAAAGCTTCCTGTCACTAACAATGACAGTTATTGCGTACTGAGTGTCACCATTTGCCAAGTTGTTTGCCAACAGGCTTTATGTTCATTAGTCACCTAACCATCACAAAACTCTACAAGGAAGGTATGTATCATGATGGGCATTTTATGGATGATGAAACAAAGGCTCACAGAGGTTAAGTTTCATTATCACATGTTTTACAGATAAAAAGTGGCAGAATCTTACTAAATCCCAGGTACGTGCATCTTTGCTTATAAAACGTTCTTCATTTTATAGATTCACCTAGTCGCCTAAATTCTTCACATTTCCCAAATATATAGGCACCTGGGCAATAATAGAAAGTGCTTTTGTTCTAGCTTGGTCAAGTTAAAATATGCAGGTCTGGACAACTTATTTGCTATAGCTTGAAAGTGATAGCGGCATGACTGAAATTTAGAAATACTGATTGAAATGACTGGAAATAACCTCTGGCAAACTGATTGAAATGACTGGAAATAACCTCTGGCAAAGTGGTTCAATTGACTTTTGTGATACCATGGTCTCAGTTTTGAAGATCATTCTACATTAACCTTTTACAATGTAACTTATATTGCTTCAACTAAACAATGAGCACAACTCTAACCTGTCTTCTATTTTCCTTCTTTGAAAAGTCTCTAAATTTGTTTATTCTCTGGTTTACAAAGGGAAGGGGATAAGGTATTTTTACTGGAGGTCAAGTCAGCATTTTAGGAATCAGTGGATGATGTAAATAAGAATCAATAATGGATGAGGCCCTTCTTGGATTAAGAGGCAAATAATTTCCAATTTAATAAAAAAGAAATTTTGGCTTTAATTATCCAAGTTTATGACTAGGTTATTTTGATCAAATTCATCAGATTTGTTCTTTATTCTGCCAGCAACATTATTAGGGCAGCTATCAGCAAAAAACTTGAAACAACGATAAAAGTAGCACTGAGATATTAGAAGTTAATGTATTGAAATGCATTCATTCATTCATTCAACAAATATTGTTGAATACCTTCCATGTGCCACTGTTTTAAAGCCCGTTAAAATGCCCAACCTGATCCCCTGAGGAAGATGGCCATTTAGGAACAGCTCAGGATTGCAGCTCCCAGTGAAAGCGCAGACGGTGAGTGGACGACACGTTTTTATTGCCCACAGACTAGGAAACTCCCGGGCAGAGGTGCTCCATGGTCGCCAGCGCAGCTGTTTCGGCCAGCACGGCTGTGCCGGCCAGCGCCTCTGCTTTGCCCCGCGCGGCTGCTTTGTCGGCGCCCCGGAGCCGCGGTTCTCGGTACAAAATACACTGGTCCGGGGGCCCTTTAGGCTGGCGATTGGAGCCACGGGAAGTCGCCCATACACTGGTTCAAAAAGGGGACAGAGCAGAGAACCAGGACAGTAGATTCCAGGGCAAAAAAAAAGAAAAAAAAGCGCCACAAACCTCAGTGCCGCTGTTTAAGCCAGCGCAGTGAGTGGCCGCAGGGGAAAACAAACAGACCCCGGCGCCTCTTCAACAGGCGACTGGAACACCAACTTAAAAAAGGCTCTGAGGCAGGGAGCCAGGCGATCAGGCTCGGCTGGCCCCACCCCCACAAAAGAACAGCAACCAGAAACTCTGGATTGAGAGTTTCACAGCAAGCATAGCTGAACCTGGGAGGGTCCAGCTCTGTGGGGGAGGGGCGTCCGCCATTACCGAGGCAGCCCGCCGTTGCCAAGGCAACCCGCCATTGCTGAGGCAGCCCGCCATTGCCAAGGCAACCCGCCACAGCAGAGACTTCGCCCCAACAGAGGCGGGCCACCATCGCCAAAGCAGTTCTAAATACACCCATATAAACAGGACTGCAGGGAAGTTCACTTGGCAGCGGGGCGGAGCCCACAGCAGCTCAGCAAAGCTGCTATAGGCCGACAGTGACTAGGCTGCCTCCTTGCTGGGCTGGGCAGGTCTGAAGGGAAAAAAAAAAAAAAAAGAAGGCGGCAGCATAACGGAAACTCATAAATAAAGCCCTAAATCCCTGGGACAGAGCACCTGGGAACAAAAAGCAGTTTATGAGTTCTGCTGCAGCAGACCTAAAAGTACCTGCCTAGCAGCTCTGAATGAACAACAACAGAGCTCGCAGCTCACCATTTGAGCTCCTATAAAGAAGAGACTGTCTCCTCAAGCAGCTCCCTGACCCCTATATATCCAAAAAGACACCTCATAAAAGAGAGATCAGATTGACACTAGGCGGGTATCCTTCTGGGACAAAGACAGCAGAAGAAGAAAACTGGTAACAACACTTGCTGTTCAGCAGCTGCTGCAGGTGAACCCCAGGCAAGCAGGGCCTGGAGTGAACCTCAGTAGACCTACAGCAGGGGGGCCAGACTGTCAGAAGGAAAACCAAGAAACAGAAATAACCTCATCATCAACAAACAGAACGTCAATCTGAAAGATTTGAGACCCAATCTGAAAGCCAG